ATGGACATCTGTGATTCTGCTGCTTGCTGAGATGTGGAATCTCTCCCAGTTGTCCCACCAGCTCAGAATCCTGACAGAGAAGGAGATGGTGAAAATAGCAAAGGAAGAGCAGCTGTGAGTTTTCAAACATAGTATCCATTTGTTCTGGATGCCCATAGCAAAAGAACCTTGATTTTTGGCAGTAACCAGCCTGAACATGTTTTATTTAATTTGTTCTGTGATGTGACATGAGACATTGATGGAAGGCAGCATGTCCATGCACACCAGTCTGCCCTGAGGTTGCCTAACCTCCATTGATAACTATCAAGCCAAGTGCACAAAAATTCAACATTTTTCTAAGGATCTTTTTCAATCAGAATCCAAGACTTTCTTCACCACACCCTGAAAGCAAATTCTGAGCCTGAGGACTGGATTTGTGTGATAATGAGTACTCATCAAGAGCTGTTAATGAAACAAAGGACAATGAAACCAATGGCCTTTTGGATCAGACCAATGAACCATTTCAATCCATTTCTTCCCGAAGTGGCCAAAATAGAGGATGCTGGCAATGGTTACACATAGATCAGTCAGTAACAGAACATCCTTGTCAGTCAGGAGTCTTCTTTTTTATTTCTGACTTTGAAACTGAAGGGAATCCATTGCATTTGAGTTTCCTCTTTCTCTTCAATTAGACTCAATTGCCATTATTTAATGAGTATTGTGGTTTTTTTAATGTTTGATTTGTCCTGCTTAAAATCTTCACATTTGCTTTCTCTCTCCTTGCTCATTTCTATGAGATTCTTTAATTCACACTGTCAATGGCTCTGTTGTGGTTCCTTATATAATTCCTTATATAATTGCCATGCTAAAAGCAATCTGAAATTTCTCCTCTCTAGCTAATGCCTCTATTTGCTACATGCTTTTGCTTCAAGGACACAATCTTACAAAATCATGCAGCTAGTCCTGGTTCAAATAACTAACCTGAAAGAGAAAAGAGGCACTGCTGTGTGAGTAAAGGCTTTGGTGAACATTCTCCTAAACGCCCAAATGAATTTTTTAGTTAAGCCGTATAAATCAGTCCATCTCTACAAACACAAACTGTGCTATGTCAGTTAAAAAAAAAAAAAAAAAAAAAAAGGAATGAGCACTTGCATATCTAGCTCCTTGGAATCTTTTCAGGGGATCTCCTTTCTGAACCCACTGCAATTATCCTGTCACCCCACTACAATTATCCTGGCATCCCACTACAATCACAAGCTGCTGCACTGGTCTTTGTTTTGTTCCCTTTAGGGCAATTTGACTACATTTTTGTACATGGGATGTATTCTACAGAGAATAAAAGTTTGACAGAAGGACAAATTTCTTTTGAACCTCGGATAGAGGAGAAGGCACAACATTTTAATGTGTTTCTAATTGCAGACACCATGACTGTTCATATGTGTAGCAATAAAAATAACCATAAACCTACCTAATCATTAAAGTAAAGCAAACAGCTCCTCTCTGTATCATCATACACAGGTACTGGAGTTGCTAATAAACCAGGAAGAGCACTGAGGCACTGGAGGAGCATCTTTCCTATCTCCACAGTTTCTTAAACAACTTTAGAGGCATATTTTTATTAAGTATATGCAAGGCAGATGATCTTAAACCTCAGAAAGAGTCTGTATAATAATTGTGTGCTCTTCTAATGCTCTCCAAGGACCTATTCAGAGTCCATTCTGAAAGACAATAATATATCAAGAACTTCTGCAAACTTCCTCCTAATGAACACATGCCAATTTGAGACCAAGAATTCTGGCCTCAGAGGACAAAATAACCACTGCTCTTAGTCTCTGGGTGTTTTGCTACTTTATTTCAGAGTGATTCAAAATCTAATTAAATTTCTAAACTCTAATGAAATTACAGAAGAAAAATCATTTAGGATTATATTATATACAATTACTCACAGCTGAAAATTACAGTTAGCCTCTTTCAACAGGATAGGGTCTCCTGAGAAATCCTTGTTACTCTTGTAACATATAAATCTGACATTACTCCCACTATTTACAGGTTGAAGGTAAAAGCAGAATTAATTAAACATATATATCCTGCCCAGTGTCCAGATGTTGGAGAGTGGGTAATAGAAGGAAGGTTGATGATGACTATGCTCGAAAACACATTTCCCAGTTTGGTCAATAATCAGAATAAGCCTACTACAAAGCAGGATTTTATTAAGCCTGGCTTATTCTAATCAGTGCTTTTCCTTACTGGAGGTATGCTATGAATGAGAATAGTGAAGCATACACAGTCAGCAGTGCACAGTCAGCTAGCTGAGTTATCTGAACTATTTTGTGGAGAAACATTGACAGAATTCACCAAGCAGCTTTAGAGAGTTCAGACAAATACTCAGATGTTTAGTTCCTTTGAAATATGACCACTGACTTGGGGCGAGGGAGGAGGGAGAAGAAAAAAGAAAAAAAGAAAGAAAAGAGAGAGTTGACATTCATGTTATTCCCTCCATAAGAGCTTCTCATGAACCTTGGAGCATGGGATCATTTGCAGATGAAACATGTGTCCTGCATGAACATTGGGGGCTTCTTAGGAGGATCCTGATATCTTTTTCCTCCAGCAGGTGCAGAGGTTTTTGTTTGCTTGGTTTTGGTGTTTTGAACTGTGATCCTGGGAGAACCAGAAACAGTGAAAGAGCAAAAATGAACTACACACATGCGCATGTGCACACACACACTCATGGGTCAAAGCATTAATACTTTTTATCACATCTACCATACTCAGTCAGTTCTACCTATGCCTCACACAGCAAAATAAGCCAGGAATCAAGCCCACCTCAGAGAACATACGGGTCACCTTTACTTATATCTTTACCCCCTCAAGAGTCTTATTTTTTGGTTAGCACTTTGTTTTGCTAATCCCTCCACAAACACCTGGAAGTCATAAACACGATTTTTTACTCACAGCTTTTCAGAGCAACTAAACATTTGTGAATATCTTGCTCATTTGGAGCTATTTTTCTTCCAAGGTGGCCATACACGTGCAGACATTAACATTCCTTATGGTCTACAACAGTCCCATTAAAAACAGACTTCTGGAAAGAGGGCTTCATAACCATGATTTAACTCAGCAAGACAGATATTTCATCTAGCCTTAAGATGTGAGATTCTGCTGAGACCAGATTCCTCAGACATTCCCTCACTAACAGAAACAAACAAAAAAAAATTTATCTTACAACTTCTCACTCAAGATATACTTCAGATTATTTTGATTGCAATATATCTGCATCTACAGGAGATAATGATACTAGACAGCAACAGACTAAAGCAGAAAGGCAAATCAAGAATCAAGAGGTAAAAGCAACACAGAGACTCTTGAGAGCTGGGGCAGGGGTGGGAAAGGCCCATATCCTTGTACTTTCCATTTCTGAAGGATGGACCTGAAATGTGTTGGGAGAAGTGGGTTCACTTAGCAAAAAGTATTAATATTAACTTGTATGTTTTGTTACCATGCAGTCTTGGAACAAGTTAACCTGTTTGAAAAGATGAAGTTTCCTGGAGGACAGAAATTTCTGTTTTTTCACTGTGATTCAGTTTGACTCCTATCAAAAGTCCTATCTGCCAGTAAGTTCCCGCATTTTAGAATCATGCATTTGGCACAGAGCTGATAACGCTTACTAGATCTGTTACAGCAGAATCAGATAGAGACATACCTAAGCTGTGGGTCCTTCCTAGACCTAAAACCAGACTGAGGTTCTTGGTCTTACTAAAACTAAAATACTTGTGTGCATTTCCAGACAAGCCTTTGTCAATAAATGGTGCACCTAGGAAGCTTAAGTATCACAATCCAAGTAAAAATCAGCAAGGATTTTTCAGTCTCAACATTTTGAATCAAGATTCAAGTCATACAAGCCTCATTTTATGGGAAGGTTGGGGTGTTAGGTGAGAAATGGCATTATTAAAATCTAATCATAGAATCATAGAATCTTAGGGGCTGGAAGGGACCTCGAGAGATCATCTAGTCCAACCCCCCTGCCAGAGCAGGGTCACCTAGAGTACATCACACAGGAACTCATCCAGGTGGGTTTTGAATGTCTCCAGTGAGGGAGACTCCACAACCTCCCTGGGCAGTCTGTTCCAGTGCTCTGTCACTCTTACAGTAAAAAATTTTTTTCGGATATTCACCTTGAACCTCCTATGCTCCAATTTACACCCATTACCCCTTGTCCTATCACTGGTCATCACTGAGAAAAGCCTAACTCCATCCCCCTGACACTCACCCCTTACATATTTGTAAACATTGATGAGGTCACCCCTCAGTCTCCTTTTCTCCAAGCTAAAGAGACCCAGCTCCCTCAGCCTTTCCTCATAAGGGAGATGTTCCACTCCCTTAATCATCTTCGTAGCTCTGAGCTGGACTCTTAGTTCCTACTATGTCAAGATATTTTTCTCAGGTAGAAGCTCATTCTCAGTAATGAGCTTGTAATGGTTTTGCAGCCACGATGAGACTCTGCTCCTGAAAACATTTATTAGGAAAGGGAAGTGTTCAGCCAAATACTCTTATCCTCAAAACTCTATTAGGGAATTCACATTGAGTTAAAAAAAGAAGCTGGCAACGTTGAGAGAGATTGTTTTAGAAGATTCTCCTTGTAAGACACAAAACCCACTTGCATCTCCACGGATTTACAAAACTTCAGCAGTGACCAGTTCAATGTGGTAGGACTCCTTCTATTTTATAGAAAGAAGTATTAGCATGTAAATATCTCTTACAGAGCAAAACAGCTGACCCAGGCTGTAACTGTTGGCTGTCCACCTCCTCCCCAGTACATTTTAAAACATTTATATGTTGAACTTAAACCCTAAAAGGGGAACTTCTGTTTGTGAACGTTAACTACTCAGGATGTGACCATCATTTCCCAATGCAGTCATGTGACATGCTGAAAACTTTTTTTTTTTTTTTTTTTTTTTAAGGTGCTGCAGAAGAGCAAAATTCAGAAAACTTGAGTGAAACCACTCTGTTATCAAAACTCCACAATGACCTTACTAACAAACTGGATATCAGTCCTAAAGGCATTTCTTCTTCTCTTATGTAAGTAACTACTTCTTTTCCATCCTTTTTAAGAGTTTTATGTTTTGATTTGTTTTTCTGTTCTGTGTTTGGGGTTTTTTTGTTTTTTGTTGTTTGTTTTTTTTTCTGAGATTGGTGGGGTTAGTTACCTCCTAATCTAATTGTGTGCATTTTGTTTAAAACTCTCTTTAAAACCCCATTCCTTGAAGAAAGAATATTTATAGACACAGTGAGATATTCTGCTGAGTTTTCTAGCTAACATTTCCTAAACTGTTAAGGGGTCAGCTGTGCACAGTCCAGAAGACACTGGGAAGCTTAAATACCTGCATCTTTGCAGATGAGATGGTAGAGCTGCTGAGCATATTGTTTGGCACTGTATAGTACTTCAGCACAAGGATCTGTGTGCATGCTATCTGCAAGCCACTTTTGGTCTCTGCAACTCTCACTTGCAGGACTTTGATGCTGCTAATTCAGGCTGTTTCTAACACTTCCTGTCAGCCCAAAGCAGGGCTTTCTTATGCTCACAACTTGCCTCTTACTTCAGAGTTACTCACCTCCACTTTGTGCAGGGAAAAAGCAAGCATTATGGACAGGAAGTGTCAGCATGAGTCATATTAACATTGAGAGTAATGTGGTGTAAATGGGTTACTGTGGCCTCTGAGACATTGGGTAAGGGGAGAAGCACACTCTGGTAGCAAAAGCCTTATCTTTACAACTCCCACACTTCATGCAGAAATTTGTAGTGTCATCATCTATCTATGGGGAATCCCACAAGGCCAGTTCGCCCCACCTGAGATGTGCAGACCAGCTGTTTCAGCTTGCCTTGACTGGATATACACTCCTGTCTAAGATTCTGCAAGTAAAGTTATGTATAGTTTTACAGCAGTGCTGTCTTGTAGACCTTCTCAGGGTACACACAGGAATTCATTGCTCTCACTACCCTTTTCTGTCAGTCCTGCAAGCCCCCTACACCTTTCTATAGGCACTTCCAAGAGACCAGAGGAATGGAGACTGTCTACCAGAAAGGACATGGGTAACCAACCATTCTTAGAGATGTGAAGTCAGCAATGACTGCTCTTTAGTTATTGACTAGTTATTGCTCAACCATCAAATGGCACAAGTCCTATTAACACGGTAACATTTCCTTAGAGCAAAGAGATGCAAACTCAAGAGCAGCAATACATGTTCTACAGCAAAAGGCACATCACAACAGATAGTAAAGAGAATGCATTAACATGTCTCTAAGTGCCACATTGATAGGTGCAGGGAATGGCAAATCTATAGGCTTTTGGATGGATGGGTACCTAAAAAGGACTAGAGCTAAAATTTTGTTTTCATGTAAGAGTGACTTCTGTTCTCTTCTATTACTACAAAGAAGGATTTTGCCTCTAATTTGAGCACTAAGGAAGGACTCCATTTGTCTGGATGTTTGAATCATTGACATTCGGATCAATGTCAGGATCATTGCCTGTAGCCTTTCTATTGTCATAGATATTAATTATGTGACTCGGGAGTTGCTCAGGCACCTACTGTGAGTAAACCCTTTTTTCCACCTTGCTTTCTTGCATCTGTTACTCCAAAGACAAATGGCACTGAACCCTTGGCTGCTGCAATGCCACAAGACCAGCCTCTGTCTGCTGAAAAGAGAAGGAAAAACCTGAGATGGGGTAGTAAGAGAGAAGAAAGTCACATGGAAGCAGAAAGCAACAGAAGTAAAGGGACTAAGGCAAATGCCGTGCTCTGAGAAAGACAAGGCACACGTTGCTGTCTATCAGTGCAGGTTATAGCTGGGAGTTGTTCACAATATCAGTAAGGAGAGGAAAGTGAGTTACTCCTACTCCCTGATGCCCAAGTTGCATTCTGCACCACTTTCCATGCTGCACTGACCTACAGACAAGGCACCACATGAGCTCAGTTACGTAGCAGAAGACACAGGGAGAATAGCATGTCCCTCAGTGTGGCTCAGAAGCTGCTTTCTGCTTAGCCCAGCTCCATGCACAGCAGGTCTGAGAACGACTAAACCAGGGGCTCCCAGGTAAGTGTATTTATTTGTGGGTCTATCACCTACTCAGCAGATGTACCTTGAGGGAGGTAACTATGGGCAGAGGACTGCAGTGGGCAGCCAGGAGAAAAAGCTTCCTAAGCTACATGCCTGGTTCCAGCATAGCTGAGTGAGCCATGCTCCTCAGGGAGGCTGCCACAGCAGATTCATACTTACACTTTCTCCATCCCCTCACCTCTAACAGAAGACCTGTCTAGTCTGCAGTCTCACCTCCAGACTCACTGCCAAAACGCATGCAAAAAAAACTTTCTCCCTCCATTTGGAGACACAGCCTGTGCCTCCCACCAGCCTCCTAGTGCTACCAGGACTCCAGGGGGACATATCCCTATTGCAGTGCCAGGTGCAGGCTATGTCTAAGCCAGGCTCATAAGACAGGTGAGAAAGCATCATCAGTTGCCCTGAGATCCTTTGAAAAAAGGATCCATGAATTGCCCAAGTATAGATATCAAATTTGTCTGCAATGCTCTCCCATCCAGAAGCAAATATTCTCCAAGTCCAGAAGGTTTGATCAAGGCATGGGAGTTACTCAAAACCCAGCACACAGATACAAGGGGTCAGAAAGATTACAGCAGAGCTGTGGTGCTGCAGAATCTGAGGCATCACTTCTAACCCCTCTGTATCAGCAGGTGTTTGTACATCCCTAAAACATCTAAATTGAAGATGGGAACAAACAGAAACCAGCTATCTAATACAGTCCTCAAAAACAAATGGTATTTAAGCAGCATCCAATAAGTGATATGAAAACTTAATTAAAACCATATTGAAAGTATGAATTGAAAATGTTCTTTCTAGTCCTGTGGGTTTTCACACATTTTCTTCCCTCCTTTTTTAAAAAGAAACTAATAATTTCATCTCAATATATTAAACTGACCTACATAAAATATTCCATGTAAAATATTATTTCTGCCATAAATCACATAATCGGTCAGTGTTTTAATTCCATTACAAAGCATATATTAAGGCCTATGTATTATGATAATCAGGATAATAAAAGTAATACAATATTGCTTTTATTATGTCTGAATTTAAAACATTCTTCATATGAGCAAAAGAATAATTAAAGGGATGGAAGTGTTTTTTTTATTTATTTATTTATAATGAAATAAATTCACAGGCAAGAGCCTGAAAATTTGTAAAATCAGAAGCTATGCTTTTTACAGGCACTGTGTAGTCTTAGACTTTTTGCTTTTAAGTTTCCTTTAATTTGTAACTTTGATTTGGGCCATTTAGTATAGCCAGCTAGATTTTTGCAGCTTGGCTCATAATCTATGAAAATTCAGGATTAGAAATGTGATTATGACTAGGAAATAAAAACAAATCTGTTGCAAGCCACCCAATATATTAGATTTTTCCAAAAAAAAACTGTGGAAGCTCCAGAGCCCACACTCACCTCAAGAGATAATTTCAGCAGTTAGAAAAGTAAACAAAAGATATCTTTCTGTACAGATAACAAAATGGCTGATTTTGGAGTCAGACTATGCTTCAAGTTTAAAGCAATCATATTTCAAGCATTCATTTTAAAATGAAAGCAGTTACCCAAAACCTCAAGAAGACAGAATTATTTCTCCACAAGAGGTAGAGGGAAAAGAGGAGAGGCAAGCTGGGACTTGCAGTGCTGGACACCTTAAGAGTAGAAAAAACAGATATATTTAAGCCTTAAAGTCCCACTTCAGTTACAGTCAGACAACATTCTGTCACAGTTCCCCACTACACTGGGGAATGCCTATGAAAAGACAACATTGCATACAAAACAGTTGTCTTCCCAACTGGTCCCATGTTTACTCTCACCCAGGCAACGGATTGCCAAAGAGCAATAGCTGTAGGAGAAGACTTGATAGTCTGTTTGAAGCTTGTAGAGGAGAAAGAAATTGCATAGCAAGCTGTTTTAAAATGCAGGATTCATATCTGCCTTTAAAGCCGTCTCGTGCTCTGGGCACCTCATGCAGCTACACATCAGCTACATCTTTTGGAGCAAGGAGATTGGGACTCAAGTTTTCTGGAGAGGTGTGCTGAGCTGTGCCATAACGGCTCTGATAGCATGTCTTATTAGCTTTACTGCATATACAATCTTTCCTCGATTTATAGCAACTTCTCTTGAATACAGCTCTCAGGCTTGCAATGAGGAAACACTGAAACTGAAACCATGCTAAGACAACATAACGTTTTAAAGATGCATTTTCTGTTCTGCCCAAAAAACAACATGTGTGGTCACATTCCCAGGGTGTCCTCATTAACTTGACTGACAAGACTTCACTACTTCAGGATGCCTCACATCCTTTCTTAAGCTTTACCAGGATCCACCGATTCCTTGGAAGTAGCCAGACACGGCATTCTCCTTGAACACAGAGTACCCTCCTTGCTGTCCTAACAGGCTAAAATATTTCCATTTCAGATTTTTGGAGAGCAAAGGTCTATGCTTCTGGAAACCCAGAGGAGGAAATAGGTGAGTTTATGGTGAGGTTTTCACTTCCAGACAGAAAGTTAGGGGCAAATTGAATGTAAGAAAAATGAATGTACTTTCAGACATTTTTTGTATGTAGAAGATAATAATCTGACTGCATGTTTGCACAGCAGAGTCCTGCCAATGTAATTGGGGCCTTTAAATGACTTTTAGGTAAATGCAATGAGCATAGGGAGGACAGAGACTAGAACAAAGATCCTGAACACAGGCACCCTCCTGCCTGACAGAAGAAGGTGAACTCATGTAAACACAATGATGCAAAAATCACAATGTAGTTCGTAGTCTGCACTTAAAATTTCTCCTGCTTCCTCCTACTGAAGACCTACAGAGGCAGAATAGCTGGGCAGGGCAGGAGGCTGAGGTCCGGGAGGTAGATGTGAAGCTGTGTGCATGCAGCTATGGGAAGCAGGAATACTGGTTTGCAGAATACAGTGGCAAGGGAGTGGGGAAGGGGAATTTCAGTTTGTGAGGAAAAGTAAAGATCTAGCTCTAAAACTCAGCAGAGACCTGCATGCGACAAGGGCTAAACTTGTTCATTTTCATAAGATGGCACTGAGCCCCTTTACCCACAGGTTCACATAGTTTAATAATATACAGGGGGCTGAAAGTCAGCTCTTCCCAGCTACCTGATCTGGCTCAGCATTATCAGCCCCTTCTGAAGAATACAAAAGATTTTTTTATTTTTTTTTCAGGGATGCATTTAAACTTTGGGTCATGTCTGAAACATGAAGACTGTTTTTATTACTTAATGCTGTATACTCATTAGCTTTTTAAAAATTTTTGCAGATTTCACTTATGTGACTATAGGAGTTACACTGGGAGCATTGCTAGCAATCGCTTTTGTAGCAGTAATAATCTGCATGATCAAAAAACAAATGATTGACAATGTCTTCGGAGGTAAGAAAAAAAATACTCCTGATTCCTTATCCAAAGACCTAGATCTGATTATGTTCTGATACAGCAGATCTGAGCTTCAATAATAGGAACTGTGCACACACTACAACTCTAGTTTTTCTTTGAAGAACTATTTTCAAAGTGTCTAAAGTGCTGGAGTCCCTAGAACTGCAGATTCACATTTCAGTATGACCAACTCTGCTCTTTAGCCTTACAGGAGAAATAAATTTCACCTCAGCATACTGCCTGGGTATCTTTTAAAAAGTAGTTACTCTAAAACAAACAGACTCTTGTCTTTTCAACCTCAGTTAAAGAGCCTGTTGGATTTACAGGATGGGTAAGAGGCTCACTCACTTTTCTTAGTCAAAACTACTATTTGTTTCACTGTTTCCAGACTTTTCCTTCAAATGTGACAGTCTGACTTTAAGATTTGCAGCTTCCACAAGAACACATAGCAAAGCTGTCTATAATTTTCCACCATGATAGGTTTTCAAGATGCCACAGGAAAGCATGGTTTTCAACTGAAACAGGCAAAAGCTCTTTGATTTAACATCTTAACCAACTGCAGCCACGTTCTCCTGGTTGCATTCTCACAACTTCTGAGCAGCCTGATCACCAGTCTGTTCTGGTTTCTTAACTAACCACTTCTTTATTTTATCTCTTTAGAGTCAGATGGCAAAATGGATAGAAGGTAAGTGTCATTGGCCTGTGTGTTTTCTGAAGTGGTGTGATACACAAGGAGTAAAGTTTAACTCCTTCCTCTTCATGCATGATGCTTCCCACAACTGTGATTTAAATGACAAGACAAAGTGGGCATGCAAGGCTCTAGAGGACCATGATAGGCACTGTGTCTAGTGGATCTGCATGGAAAAAGGAAACTCCTCGTAACAGGGTTTGGACATTTCAAAAATAGGACAAAAATTCCAGCAGACAGATTCTTGATCAAAGGAAAACTTTTTATTATGTTGGGGGGGGGGCCTTGATTTTTCTTTTCTTTAGTCTCTACTATGTATTATAACAGAAACTCCTTTTTTTTTTTTTTTTTTTTTTTAAAAAAAAAAAGAAAAAGACCTTTTTTCAAAATCT